CTAATTTGTCCCTTCCCTTTGCTTTCCCCTTTGCTAACCATAAACTTGTTTTCTATGTTTGTGGGTTTGTTTCTGTTTTGTAAATAAGTTCATTTGTGTCATTTTTTTAGAGTCCGCATATAAGTGATATCATATGACATTTGTCTTTCTTTGTCTGACTTACTTCACTTAGTATGATCATCTCTAGGTCCATCCATGTTGCTGCAAATGGCATTATTTCATTCTTTTTTATAGCTGAGTATTATTCTATTGTATGTATCTACCACAACTTTATCCAGTCATCCGTTGATGGACGTTTAGGTTGCTTCCATGTCTTGGCTACTGTAAATAGTGCTGCTGTGAACACTGGGGGGACTGCTGTTTTCTGAAGGGGCTTCCCACTGGGGTGGTGGCCTGGCCAGTCCCCTTCTGTCTCTGGACTTTGGTCTGAGCTTCAGAGGCAGCCTGGTTCATAAAGAACTCGTTCCTTGGCTCATGGCGCTCTTTCCTTCCACAAGTGTGTCATTGGTCGGGGGCAGCTACCCCAGGTATCTGCTGCAGGGCATACTACTGCTGGTACCCACGGCTGCACATGAAGAGGGGACTTGGTCCCTTTCTCGAGCACTGGTCTCACCAGTCACTCCAGTGAGGTGGAGGGAGTCAGCTTCCAGGCTTCCTTGAAGACACTAAGAAGTATGGAGCCCTGCATGTGCTGAGGAGGGGCTGGCCGGGGAGTGGCTTGAGTATTTGCTCTCAGAAGAGAGACCTGGGCACTTTACTTTCCCCTCGTACTAGACAGGGGCCACTCTGACTGCGTCATCATTCTCTACATTTGAATGACTATTGTCCTGTGAACAACCCCCACTTCTGAGGCAGCATGCTTATTCCAGCAATACCTCTGGTACTCAGGGCATCTCTTAAACCCCCTCTGGGCGCTGCTGTCAGTCAGTTTACATCAGCCAGATGCCTTGCTTTCCAATCACTCTTCATCGTTGACCTAAACAGCAACCCACACCCTGATGGTTCCTCATGTGCCAGATTTGGCTCAGAATGCCTCCTACTAAAAAAAAAAAATCACATCTGGTGCGTTCAGTGGCTTAGCGCATATGCCTCTGAGAATCCACACAGGCAGCAGGTGTTTGTTATTTGAGGATGGGTTCGACTTTTGGAAATGATGTCGAGGTACTCTGAGCTGAGGCTGGAGAATCAGGTAGCAGGGGAGAGCTGTTGAGTCAAAATCAGGAGGCTCCAGAGGGGCTGGCAGACTGCCCACTCTCATCCTCAGCTTGCAGCCCTCCGTTCTGCTACTATTGCACCCCTGGGTGTCACAGCAGCTGTGGCCAGACAGTGCCTGGCCTCTCTTGCTCTCTGCTCAGTGCTTCTCAGCTGGCTGAGCCATCCCACTCCTTCCTCTTGCTGGTGACTTGCATGGTTTGCAGGGTCCCAGGCCAGACTGAGCCTCAGCTGACCCAGCAGTAACCAGCTCAGTTAAGAGGTCTTGGATGGGCCTTTCTCTTTCCCTGTTCCACTCTTCCCAGTCCCCCTCCCCACCATTGCTTTTCCCAGGGAGCTCTTCTCTAGGATATGTGTAAAAGCCTCTGCATTTGGGGGAACCCAGGCTGACAGCTGCCCTTCTGGATTTCTTGTGAGGCTTACAAATGAGCTATTTCTATGAACCCAGCATGTGAATCATGGGGGTTCTAGTCGGATATGTCCTTAGGCACTGTCCCCTGGGCCATTTTTTCCCCTCTCTTTCCTTCTTAAAAAAAAAAAGACTTTCTTGAGATATAACTCACACAACATGCAACTCACCCATTTAAAGTGTACAATTTAGTGGTTTTTAGTATATTTACAGTTGTGTAACATCACCACAATCAACTTGAGAATATTTTCATCACTCTAAAAAGAAACATGGTACTTGTTAGCAGTCATTAGCCATGTCCCCCTCAAACCTGTCCCCCTACTCCCAGGCAACCACTAATCTACTTTGCGTATCTATAAATTTGCCTATTCTGGACATTTCATTTATTAATTTAAAAATATTTTTATTTTACTTATTTCTTAATTAAAATTTATTTTTTTTACTTTAGGAGGATGTAATTAGGTTTTTAAAATTCATTTATCCTTAACAAAGTTACTGGGATTGAACCCAGGACCTCGTGCAGGCTAGGCACACACTCTACCACTGAGCTATATACTTTCCCAGCCTAGACATTTTATTTAAATGGACTCATACCATGTGTGACTTTTGTGTCTGGCTTCTTTCACTTAGCATAATGTTTTCAAGATTCATGCATGTCGTAGCATGTATCAGTAACTCACTTCTTTTCCTGGCTGAGTAATAATCCATTGTATGGATAGACCACATTTTATTTGTCCATTCATCAGTTGACAGACATTTGGGTTGTTTCCACTTTTTGGCTGTTATGGATAATGTTATCAATATTCATACACAAGCTTCTGTGTGGAGTTTTTTCTTTTTAAATTTCTTTTTGGTATATACCTAGGACTAGGACTGCTAGGTCAGTGCTCCCTTTTAATTTTTCATTTTATTGTTACACTAGACAATACATTCCCATATTATTTCACAATTTAAAAGGTGCAGAAGGAGAATTCCTATTCTCTCCTCAGAGGCAACTAGTATTTCCCACTTTACATGTATCCTGGGGGGGGACAATTCTAGTATACATAAACAATTATGAATATATAGCCTTCCTTCCTTTTTTTACACAAATAGCGACATAAATACACATTGTTCAGCACCTTCCTTTTTGTTTTAACATTAAATCATAGAGATTGTTCTGTATCATTACCAAAAAACTCCCAAACCTTTTCATTCTTTTTACATATGTATAAGTATACTCTTGGATGGAGAGAAATGATCATTTAATCAGTTTCCTATTAAAAGGCAATAAGTTCTCCTCCAGTCCTTTGCAATTACAAATGATGCAATGAAAAGTCTTGAACAAATATCATTTCCCTCATGTGTGAACTCATCCATAGGAACCATTTCTAAAAGTGGAGAACCTGATCATACTGTGTGCGAACTTAAAAGCTTGACACATGTGCCAAATTGCCTTCAGTTGGGGTTATACCAATTTTCTGCCCATCAGCAGCATATGAGCATGACGGTTTGTTCACTCTCACCAATTTATGGGTGAAAAATGGTATCTCAATGTAATTTTAATTTGCAATTTTCTTATTACAAATGAGCTAAAGCAGCTTTCGTTCCTTTTCTGTAAAATGTATCTTTTGCCTGTTTTTCTGTTGGATGTGGTCATTTTCTTGATGACTTGTGGGTGCTTTTTATTTATCAGAGAAATTGACTCTTTGTCTTTAATACAAATGCTGAAAGCTGTTTCCAGTGGGTTAAACCTGTTGCTTTTGTATATTTCGGTACATGAATATCCAGTTTCTCTCCCCCAGAAGGTATTTTATCTCCTACCCTGTTGACTGGGGTCAGTTGTGTGACTTGCTTTGGCCAATTAAATGTGAACAGAAGCACGTCTGTCACTTCTGGGCTGAAGCTTGAACTGCCAGTGCTTTGTGCATTCTCTTCCCTTCTGTCATGGCAATCGGCATCAGCAGATGATGGCTATGCTTTCAAATGAAGAACCCAGAGTGAAGATGACAATAGTGACAACATGGGAGTAGAGACCCCGGCCAATCTGCAAGAGAACATGTATTGTGGGCAAGAAATAATCCTTTGCTGTTTTATGCCACTAAGACTTCAGTTTTTTCTCTCTTTCTGCAGCATAAGTAGCCTATCTTGATAGATATAGGTGATTTTTGCCACAAAGAAAAAATTTCTTTGTTTTGATGAGGTTAAAACGATCATTTCCTAATTTTGTGACTTCTAGGTGTATGTCAGAAGATTTTCCCCACTTCTCGATTTTTATTTTAAAAATTCTCCCATGATTAGTTGAAAATCCATTATTTATCTCCCAATTTGAAATGCCATCAAGTGCTACTACTCTGATTATTGTTCGTAGTTAAAGAAGCAGAGCCTGGGACACCAGCTGCTGCAGTCACCATAATCATTGTTAGATTACATCTAGCTGCTAATAGGAGACCTGACTTCAGATACTTACTCCAATTAGGAGTTTATTCTCTCACACAGAATTTCAGTGCTGGGCCTTCCATGGCTGCTGGGGGATTGCCCAGGGCATCAGAGTCTCAGGCTTCTTATGTATTTCTGCTTTACCTTCCTTAACATGTGGCTTTCTTAGACTTTGTGGTCTAAGATGTCTGCAGGAGCTCCAGCCATCGAGTCTGAATTCCAGGCAGGAGGTAGGAGGAAGAGAGTGGGATAAAAGGGTCTGTACCAATTGAACATCTCCCTTTTAAGGAACTTTCTTAGAAGTCTCACCCCAAAACTTCCACTTGTATCTTATGGTTCAGAACATAATGATAGGACTTGATTCAAAGGGGCAAGAGATGTAGTGTTTTGGTAAGAATATTTGCTAGGCAATTGAGAGTGTTGGTGTAATTGAATGGTTCAGGGTGCCACTGAGATATGGTTGGTAGAGTTCTCTGACAGCCTCAGGGCTTTGGGGACATGTCCTGCTCCTGAAGAAAGTTCCCCTGTTGGCGAGTCCCAACAGAAGGCACCATAGCCCCCACCGTTTCCTCTTCACTTCCTCGCTAGAGGCTGTTTTCAGCTTCGGTGGGATGTATCCGATGTGGCTGCTCCCTTGTTGGGGAGGAAGGCCGGCTTCTGCTCTAGGAGTCAGGAACCCTGGTGGTCTTTGGCCCATCCAGCCCTGACTGTCCCTGCCTGGCTATGGCTTCAAGTCCTTTCAGCCCATTTCTCTCTGTCAACTTGGGTAACAAGGACATTTTTCTAGGGCTGCTGTGCTCCCAGAATGAAATCACATTGAGGAAGTCCTTTGGGTTTGCAGCTATTGATCTTGGGACAAGAAGAGAAGACTGCCTGAAAGTCCCCGCTGCTACCAGCTGGCCCACAGAGCAGGAGTGGCTGGGTGTTGTCAGAGAAAGGCCTGGAGGGGAGGGTGTGCTGCTCACCTGCTCATCTGCTCCCACGGCTTCCTAACCCTCCTTCGGGATTTTTTTGCCAGCTCCACAAAACCAAAGTCACTCTCTTGCTCTCAGATCCAGCACCTCCTTAGCTTCCCACCCCAACTCCAAGCCTGGTCTGGCCTCTCTCAAGCAATAGCCCATCACTGACTCCATCAGCCCCTTGAATTCCTTCATTTACTTCATCCCACCGCTCTTAACATCTCTAAACATCTCTCTTTCCTGAATCTTTCTTTGCACTCCCCACCCCCTTCCTGACCTGAGTCACCTCAGCTTCCTGCTAGCAGTCACTCAGTAGCCTGTATGAGTCAGGAAAGGCTAGACTTATGCCTTTGTAACAAAAGGCCCTTATTGAAGAGACTTAGTATATATGAATTTGTTTCCTGTTCACGAAAAATCTGCATAGCTCTCTAGGACAGCTGTTGCCAGTGATCCAAGCAGCTTAGATCTGGTGAAGACACCATCTCAACTCGTGCCACGCTTGCCACAAACAGTGAAGAGAGACTGGCAGGATTCGTATCTACCCTTTTAGGATTCAGCTGGAAGTGACAGTTAGACCTATAGTCCATTGGCCAAAACAAGGTGCATGGCTCTGTCTAACTGCAGGTGGGAAGGGTGGGGAGCACAGATCTGTGGTCAAGACTCTGTTTTCAACAGTAACACATGCAATAACTGTGTCTTCCAAAGCCTATAGGAACCTGCTAATAGTTCATGTCCAAGTTCCTGCCCAACCTTCAACAACTCCTATGATTTGGCCCCACCTGACTCCTCCCAGCCCATCCCCCACCTCTCCCTGGTGAAACTCTCTGCTCCAGAAGCATCATGCCAAGTCCTTCCTCTGAGCCTTCGCTCATGCTGTTCCCTTGTTTATTCATCTTTCACTTCTTCTTTCCTAAGTTCCTCAGGGCCCAAATCAAGGTCAATCTCTTTTTGTGAGGATTCTCTCAGGTTCAGCTCTCACTGCTCTCCCTTCTCAGAGCTCCTCCAGGGCTTATTTTAAGCTATCACTCAGCCCTGAGCATGTGTTCCTTTCATGGCCTGTTGAGATTGTAGTACTTGGAGGTCAAGAGCTGTGTCTTATCCCTCTTTGCCCTCTCAGTGCCCTACTCAGCGGAGCTCTCAGTGGTTTTAACACATGAATGATTGTTAAATGCCAGACACCAAGCTAGGCATGGATGATGCAAAGAACAACAAAACACAATCTTGAAAAGGAAAGAAACTAGACTTTATATTAAATTAGTAGATCTGGATTAGGTAGCATCTAATGATTAGATATAGACTAAGTAGCTTCTAATGACAGCTCTGACTCACAGACATAGAAAGCAAACTTATGGTTACCAGGAGAAAGGGGGGAGGGATAAATTGGGAGATTGGGATTGGCAAATTTAAATTACTATGTACAGAATAGATAAACGACAAGGTCTTACTGTATAGCACAGGGAACTATATTCAATGGCTTAACCTATAATGGAAAAGAATATATATATAATTGAATCACTGTGCCATACACTAGAAACTAATAAACTAATACAACATCGTAAATCAACTATACTTCAATAAAGAAAAAAATTATTAAAAAAAGAAAGACAGCTCTGGAGTCTGTTTGGGGTTGAATCTTGCCTCCGGTTAAAGAAGCTACAGAACCTCAGGCAAGTTACTTAACTTCTTTAGCCTGAATTTTCTCATCCTCAACAATAATGATGATAATTATCTACTGTATTAGCTTCCTAGGGCTGCTGTAACAAATTACTACAAACTGGGTGGCTAAAGACAACAGAAATTATTCTCTGACAGCTCTGGAAGCTAGAAGTCTGAAATCAAGGTGTCAGCAAGGCCACTCTCCCTGTGATGGTTCTAGGGAAGAATTCCTTTCTCCCCTCTTCCTGCCTCTGGTGGCTCCCAGCAATCCATGGTATTTGCTGGCTTGTAGCTGCATCATTCCTATCTCTGCCTCCATCTTTACATAACGTTCTTCTCTTTCTCCACACTCCCCTCCATGTCTTTTCTTCTTATAAAGACATCAGTTACTGGATTATGGGCTCACCCAAATCCAGTATGACCACATCTAACTATATCTGCAAAGCTCTACATCCAAATAAGGTCACGTTGTGAGGTTCCAAGTTGACATACATTTTTGGGGGTGGGAAGGACACATTCAACCCGCGACACCTACCTCATGAGATAATTATGAGGCTTAAATAAGATGGTGCCTGTAATACAGACTACTATATATAAAACAGATAAACAACAAGGACCTGCTGTATAGCACAGGGAATTATGTTCAATATCTTGTAATAACCTATAATGGAAAAGAATCTAAGAAATTATCTAACTGAATCACTTTGCTGTATACCTGAAGCTAACACAACATGGTAAATCAACTATATTTCAATTAAAAAAAGATGGTGCCTGTAGGTCATTTAAAACAATGGTTGGTATATAGTAAAAACTCATTGAATGTTAGTCATTTTTAGAACAAAACAGCATATTAATCAGGATTATTTTATTTGCAAGTGTCCAAACCCAACTCAGTCCTGGTGTGGCTGGATCTGGGTGTTTAAATGAGGCTAACAGGAATATTTTCCTCTTTATCTCTCCATTCTCTGTCATCTTTTTTCTTAGGCACTCTCCCAGTGAGATGGTAAAGATATCCTGTTGCTCAGCATGTCCAGGGCACCATTTGACCAGCTAATAATCCTTGGTGGAAAAGAAACACCTCTTTTTCAGTAGTTCCAGGAAAAGTCCCAGGGCTGACTCTCAAGGAGCCAATCTGGACCATGAGCCCATCCCAGAAGCAATCTCTGTGGCCAGGAAGATGGACTATCCTGAGCTGAGGGATGGGGTGGAGGTTAGCAATAGCTGAACCACTTGAATTGCAAGTGGGGTGTAGTTGGGGGGGGTAGTTCCCAAATAGGAAATCAGAATGCTGGACTGTTGAATGCTAAGCTGGCAAAAACACAGCTAGTCCACTATAGACGATGGCAGTGCTGTGCACCAGCTTGTAGCCCACTGCCTCGGACAGTGCAGGAGTTCAGTAAAGGTTTACTGAATGAACACACAAATGATGAGAAAAGAACATGTTTAGTGCCAAGCAAAGTTGCTCATGATTATTCATTACTTCCCACAATAGCTCTGCAAAGAAGGCCTCATTATTTCCATTTTGCAGATGTAGAAATTGAGGTTTAGAGAGTTTATGGGATCTGTCCAAGATGACAGAATGAAAAAGTGGTAGGGCTAGGACTCAAAGCCAGGTGGGTTTCATTGCAGAGCTCGTGTTATGCCTATTATACCACATTGCCTTTGTCCATCAAAATTATAGCCAGAGAAGAAAGAGTTTGAAAATATACCACTTTTAGGTGTAACAGTAAAATAAACACATTTGTTGGTCACCTTCCCACAGTTTACCACTGTACAAGCTCAAATCTCCCTTTGTCTAGTCACTTCTCCCAATTTATTACTTTTTGTTAAAATGGTTTATAAGCCCCTGGATTTAACCACCTTTTTGGGTTTTTATTTCTTTTCTGTGAAACTTTATGCACATATAAATATTAACACTAATAAAATTTGTATGCCTTTTCTTCTGTTAACCTGTATTTTGTGAGTTTAATTTGCAGGGCCCAGGTACAGAATTAAAAGGGTAGAGAAAAAATTTTCCCTCTCCTACAACAATATTTAGGTTGCTTCCAGTTCTTAGCTGTTGGGAATAAAGCCACTTGGAACATCCTTATCCATCTTTGGTAGATATAAGCCAAAAGCACTCATTTCTGTTAGTTATATACCCAGGAGCGGAATTGTTGGGTTGTATCTCCTATCAAGCATTTGCTGCTTCCTCTTTCCTACCTCTTGAAGTCCCTCAGATTGTGCAGAACCCCTGACTGCCTAGACTTCTCTAAGCCTAGATTCAGAGGGTTGAACAAAATGACCTCTGAGGCCTCTCTCATCTTTTCCTGGAAGGATTTAGCCATAGGTCTCTTCTAGCCCCAGCTCCCACCGGCACCACTGTTTGCTCATGAAAATGTTTCATGTGATTAGCCAAGTAATGACATCTTAAAACTGTAGAGCTAATATATTACGTAATAAAATACAGGAGCAAATCTCTTTGACACATACTGGTGATTTACTCTGCCAGCCATAAAGATAATTACATTTCAGGTTGATATATAAAAGGCAGCAGGCAGAGCTTATGAAGAATTAGCATAGCTTTATGTCGGACCTCTCCGTCCATGTGGACCTGTTCATCATTCCTCTCACTACCAGCCAGCAAACATTGAATCAGCTGGGCCTGCCCAGTGACTGGCCATTGCTGCCACTGGAAGGAACTGTTGGAGGCATTGAAGTGGCAGTGGAGAGGCTCAGGCATGGGGTATGAGGCATTCATTCCTACAGGCAGCTCTGTAACATTGTAGGGGAAATCTCCAGCCCGGAGACAGAGCACCTGGTCTCTGGATCTGCCACGCCACCTCCAGCCTTAAGCAAGTCATCACCCCTCTTGGAATCAAAATATGCTCTGGGGCAAGATGCTCCCCAACTCCTTCCCCTATCACACAGGAGAGGCTTATTGTGAACGCTCTGAAATTCTAGGACTGATTTTCCAAAGCAAAAGGCAGGTTGCTCAATCTGACAAGTGTCAGTGAACTTCTAAGGACAAGGTGGCAGGGCATTTGTACCTGGGGCTGCCCTGGTGTTGGTGATTTCCAGGACTCCCTTCCCCCATGATCACTGCTGTCTTAGACCAGGAGGCCAGGGTCCAGAGGGAGATCAGGAGAAAGGAATCTGTATCCTATTTAGGAAAGATATCAGTATCCAAACTTCCAGTTTAGAAACAGGAAACTGAGGAAGAGAGAATGTGTGACATACAGATTCACAGAGAAAGTCAGTGCCAGAGCTGAGACTAGAAGCCAGGGTGAAAATGTAGAGGCAAAAGATGTGAAGGTTTTGCTACCATTCTGGGTGAGGAAGCCCAGAATTCAGTGCTGTATCTGCTCCTTCTTTTATGTTAACACAAAGCAGGATTTCAAAGGAAACCCAGCCCCAAGCTGCCTCCCTCTTCTCTTTCGTGTTCCCATTCCTTCTCTGTTGCTCCAGTTGGTGATGGCTTGTCTAGGGAAGGATAGGTATGGGAGCAGAGGGATGGACAAGGTGAACTCTAAAGAGCCTGGGTAGTTAATCCTTAGACTTAAGAGAAATGTGGGGACCTGGAGGGTAAGCTGTGGATGATTATGGTTGGAGCAGCCATCAACCAATCCCAGGGAACCCCTGGGAATTAGAAGCCAGGACTCCTGGGGTCTCCTTCCCTAACCCCTTGCTTCCTGATCTTCTGAGGTCACCTCTGCTTTTCCACTCGTAAATGTCTCCACCTGGCCAAACCAGGGCCGAGCACGTCCTGGTCTGGTGGGAACAATCTCCAGTGAGCCCCAGGACCTCAGAGTTTAGGAAGAAGCAACAATGCAAATACGTGGTTCATTAAAAAGCCGTTTCAAAAAAAAAAAAAAGGAAGGAAGGAAGGAAGAAAGAAAAAGCCATTTCCAAGAGTTCAGGGATGCGACCTCTGAGCCCTGAGTCCCTCCTTGATCCGAATGCAGGCATGGCAGAGTTGGGGCCCAATTAGCTGGGTGGTCGGAGGCAGCCTCTCAGCAAGCGCAGGAAAACCACACAGAGTCCCTTCTAGGTTCTGGAATGTGCAAACTCAAGAAAGACGCACGCACACCCCTCAGCTGCCGGCCCCAGCCCCCTGCTGAGTCATTGAAGCAGACAATGGGAGTTGGGAGGGGTCTTTCTGAGCCGGGTTGCAACCGCAGCAGTCTCTAGAAACCCCCAAGTCCCTCCCCCTGCTCACTGTCTCCTCCCCCGCTGACCGTCGCGTCGCAACGAACGCTCCGCGTTGCACTGAAGAATCCTTCTCGAGCCCGGAGCCTGGGAGGCACTTTTGCGGGCTGCGGAGCGCGGGAGCGCAGCTCTTTGAATGACAATGGGGCGGGGGGACCGCGGGGCGTCCATTTGTTCTCCTTGGCGGAGGAGGCAGATAAACAGCGCCGGTAACGACCTCGTCTCCACGTCCGGGGCTTCTGGGAGCCGTCCCAGCGGGGACCCGGGGAGAAGATGAATCGCGTTGAATGACACAGGACATGGCAGATTGGATGTTTAATTTGGGTATCTCTTTAGAACACCCCCACACCCACCTCCTCGGCTCCCACTTAGCCTCCTGCCGGAGAGAGAAAGCCTTGCTCCTCACAAATTGCCTTGTCAGGCGCAGAGAAAAATCCCAACGTGACTGATGTCTTGGTGGGTCCCTCCAAGTGCAGGGAAAGGAACCAGCACGACTGCATAATGTTCCTTCCTACGAAGACAGGGCGTTGGGCCAGAGCCTGAGATTTGAGTTAGACGTCAGGAAGGACTGTCTGTGGGGGAGGGTACTGGCCGTAGGGGAGGGTTCTGGCTGAGAGTGAGGTTTGTTTAGGGGTCTGTCGGAGGCAGAGGGAGGGTCAGGGGATCTTTGTAGGGGTCTGGCGGCTGTGGAGGGCCTGCAGGGCCCGGAAGAGGAGGCCTGCACCGGGTCGTTGGGGCAGATGCGGGGGTGGGGCACAGAGGCACAGCGCAGCCCCAAGCAGCCAGCCAGCCAGCCAGCCTTCCTGAGACAATGCTCTGGGAGCAGACTGATCACAACCTGTCAGTCCCGCTTTCCTTCCAGCCTCGCCTGCCTCCAGATCTTTCCAAACAAGGAAAGGAGCTGCAAACATGGCAATCACCTTCTCTGGCAGAGGCAGGCAGCTGCCAGGGCGCAGCAGGGTCTGGAGCCTGGCCCAGCCTAGGAGCAGGAAGCCAGGGGGAGGAGGGCCCAGGCTGTAGGAGCCCCCCCTGCCTATCTTGAGCTCACACGGAGGGCCCCCCAGGGCACAGATTGTGGGCGGTATCTATGGGCACCCCTGAGCCAGGCCAGGGTTCAACTTCAGGGACAGCACCGGAAAGGCCACCTGCTCAGGCAGCAGCCCTAGGGGTGGGGGTGAGGGGTGGGACTAGAGTCAGATGTCGGCATGTCTGCTAACCATTTGTGTGACCTGAGTAAGTCTCTTGAACTTGACCTCTTCATTTGTGACACAGGGGCTGGGGTCGGGATAGGGGATCTCTTCTGTCCAGCCCGGTCATCTTGTGGTTCTGGAGATGCCACAGGAGCAACTGGGGCAGCATTTAGTCCCTGAGGTTTGGGAGGGCCCAGGAAACCACACTTTCTAGGCTGTGGAGTGGCTGTCCTCTCTTGAAAGCCCCAGTGGCCACTTGAAACCAGTTCAGGGGAGTGTTGAGGTGGCTAATCCAGGTTCTTTGAGACGAAGAGGCATTTGGATCAGAATCTCCAGGCCTGAATGACCCAGAACTTCTCTGACCCCCAGAGGGCTGGAACTGAGGCTGATTGATGAGCTGCACCTGCAATCGTCTCACCTCCCTTCCCATCAGCCCCTGGGGTCTTCCTGCGCATGCCCGCGACAGCCCAGCGGAAAGCGTCTCACCTTCCTTCCCATCAGCCCCTGGGGTCTTCCCGCGCATGCCCACGACAGGCCGGCGGGAACGCCGCTTCCCGGCCCTGCCGCCGGCCTTTCGTGTTCCACAGTTGTCTTTCTGAGGTTGCGTGGCTCCCTCTGAATTCTTGAAAGCCTGAGGACAAGCAGAACGTTCTCAACTCAAGTATGGGTATTTTGCCTCCAATGAAGCCTCAGTGTGGATAATTTACCTGCGTAAGTCAAGAGACAGATTCTTTTTCCCTCGGGTCTCACCGTGATTTCTTCTCAAATAAGAAGACACCTAAGCTACTCTGTAGCCCCGGGCCAGTGGACGCTGACGGCTCCTCCACAAGCCCCCTTCCCAGCTTCCTCTCCTGGCTGCCGCCATCACAGTGCCCCAGGACCCGGATGAGAAAGCTGAGAGATGGAGGAACCTGGAGAGAGAAGAGCTACTTCAAAATATCCCTTTGACTTAAAACTTGAGGTAGGTGGGGGAAATACCATGACCATTTGAAAGGTAGAGTGGCAAAGCTTCTCCTGACACATCACAAGAAAGAGGTTGGGACCCAGATGCTGAGGCAGCCTTCATAAGACATGTCAGGAGAACCTTTCTTTGATATTCCCAGCTCCCTTCCCCTGCCACACGCTTTCCCCACCCCCTCCAGGGGCTTAATGTCCTCATGTTTTCTGCTGCCTCACTGTGTTTTCAGCACAGTATTGCTCTCTACAAGTCATTTACACCTGCATTAGTAGAGAAGTTCCTGGTCGACATCATGTGTAAATTCCTGGGTCATCTTTTCTGAAGGTTTGTTTTTTAAGTAATCTAAGACTTAAAAAAAAAAATCTAACTCTGGGCTTTGGTCCCTGGTCAAATAAGACCAATGTTGATGGCACTTGGGGTCTCAGAGCCCCTGAAACTAGCAGTAAGGAAGCACTTGCTCTGCCCTCAGATGAGGTGACCTTACTGAGACTCTGGTGGTGAGGCATGCCAAAACAGGGCAAGGATCTCAAAAGGTTTTTATGTCTCTCTCACTCTCTGCTCCAGGTTGAGAGACCCAAGAGCTAAACTTAGGC